ACTCTTGATGAAGAACCATCTGCTATGCGGACTGTATGGTTCTCAAGGTTTGGACTATCCTCGTGAAATATAGAGGCATCTCCCGTCATATGATCTGAGGCTCCTGAGTCAACAATCCAAGGATTTGTATGACATTTATTAACCGCAAAGGCATTTGAAAGATTACCTTTATGTGCTAGCATACTAGAACCCGGGTTTTTATTGCTTGTTTGAGTCATGACATTCTGGCTAAGCAGCTTCTGGAGTACCTCAAGTTGTTCCTTTGTGAAGGGGCTGTTTTTAGCCTGTGAACCAGAAGTGGTGCAGATGTCCTTGTCACCAGAAGTGGCAGCAATATTGATTCTGCCTTCCCGATCATTGTTTGGTCTAGAAGGTTTCCAATCAGATGGTTTCCCGTGAATCTTCTAACAAGTCTCCCTGATGTGTCCTGTTTTGCGGCAATGATCACACCAAGGTCTTCCTTTTCTTTGCATGTTGTCAGTAAAACTACTCTGTGGTCCTCTAGCAGCCAAGGCGGATCCTTCCAGAGTTGGAGTGGAATTTTGAAAGCCCATCATTAGCTTCTTCCTACTTTCCTCCCGACGAACCTCTGAAAAAGCCTCCCTTATACTTGGAAAAGGCTTTGTACCCATTATTCTTCCTCTGACCTCGTCCAAATTTTTGTTGAGGCCAAGACGAAATTTGAAGGTCCGTTTCTACTCCACTATCTCCCGGTATAACTTTGTATCTTCACTGCACTTCCACGGATGGACTTCAAACATATCAAGATGCAGCTAATGACGAGTGAGAGTATTGTAGTATTGTGTTACCGTGAGGTCTCCTTGACGTAGATCATGAAGAACAGCTTCACTCTTAAACAATTCTGAGATATTTTCCGAGCTAGAGTAGGTTTGCCTCACTGCATTCCATATCTCCTTTGCAGTCCTATATAGGAGAAAATTTTCTCCTATTTCATTATTCATAGAATTGATCAACCATGACATGATCATGTGGTTTTCTATTTTCCATGTTATGTATTTAGGGTCTCCTTTTCCTGGAATTGTAATCTCACCAGTGAGATATTCATCTTTGCCTTTACCACAAATGAACATCATCACTGATTGTGACCATTGTAGGTAATTGTGGCCATTGAGTTTGTGTCCAGTAATGAGAGTTGATGTGTTTTCTGGTCCTCCATGGGAATTGGTTGCAGATGAAACTTCGGTGGTGGAACTATCTGCCGAGGTTGAGGTAGACTTCTCTGTTGCCATGCCGTATTTAGTCATTCAGGGAAAAACAAAAAAAAAACGGCGATGTGAAGTCTAGAGAAAAAGAGGAATAGATCGATCCCTAATCATGAGAATAAGGGAGCAGAATACGAGAATAAGGCCAAGAGAATAAGGCCAGTTGACTGGAAAAGAAGAGGCCTACCGTGAGAGTGACTGTGAGAGGCGGCAGGGGTGAGGGGAAAAAGAGACCTGCCGTGAGAGTGACTGTGAGAGGCGGCAAGGCTGAGAGAAAAAAATTTTCAGAGATACGAGCCTAGGGCTCTGATACCATGAAGGTTTTTAGGAAGAATGAATATCAATTCTTATTCCTTTAATCATGAATATCAATTCTTATTCCTTTAATCAGCGGGTACACATATATATATAAATAATAAAGCTTTGACTATTCTTAGGTTGTAACTAACTAAGGAAACAAACCTACTAAACTAGGAAAGATAAAATAAAGATCCGGTAGAATCTCGGATTCTCCTCCTAAGTTATATACAAGATATTAGGGATAATTCCTAGAAATCTTCCCTAATTGATTCGGAAATCTCAACAATAATAAACAAGTTTCTAATTTTCTACTCGTGCGCGCAAATGGATATTTCTTACAACGACATTTCAGAGACATCATCTACTTGCCGAGACACTTTGTAAGAGCGTCACTTTTTCTTTGTATCACTTTTCTTTCATCGAATATTATCGATTCTAAATTGGACTGGTTTTGGTCTTCCTCTGAAAATTCTAATAATCCAATTTAAACCAATCCCATAAATAATATATTTGTATTTTTAGTTAATTTCTTTTTGGTTTTCAAAATGCCTATTATAGACCTCATGATACTTCTAAAAAAAAAATCTAAATTGGACTGGTTTTGGTCTTCTTCTGAAAATTCTAATAATCCAATTTAAACCAATCTCATAAATAATATATTTGTATTTTTAGTTAATTTCTTTTTGGTTTTCCAAATGCCTATTATAGACCTCATGATACTTCTAAAAAAAAAAAAAGGAAGAAGAAGAAGAAGAAGAAGAAGAAGAATAATAATAATAATAATAATAATAATAATAATAATAATAATAATGAGACTTTGAATTTATAGAGAAATTTCAAAATTTGACATTCAACTCAATATAGTTATACAAATGGACGATTAATACATCTGATAGTATTTCTGAAGAAGAAGAATGAGACTTTGAATTTATAGAAATTTCAAAATTGAAATACGACATTCAACTCAATATAGTTATACAACATTCAAGTCAATATAGTTATACAAATGACGATTAATACATCTGATAGTATTTCTGAGTTAACAAAAAAAAAGCCAAAAGTATATACTTTGTGCCTCGAGATCCATAAACTCCACAAATTAATGGCATGACAGAGTTGCCCAGTCTCAGTAGTTATTTTTATTTACCCCTCGTGCTTGTAGTGCAACTTGGCAACTTGCAAAATATTAATTTATAGAAAGCCAAAAATAAATAAATAAAAAATGAAAGAATGAAGAAAGATCTGACAACCCATTTTGGTTTTAGTCTCGAGTTCTTTCTCATTTCCACAGATGATTTTATAACTAAATACAAACTTACAGTAATATTATGACCTTTTTCAGATTCTATATATATAATATATATATATATATATATATATATATATATATTCGAGTATTTAACGCACAACAAATAAAGAAAATTAAGTTGATGGAAGAAGAGAAAGCTTACCTTCATCATTGAGAAGATTTTCAGATTGATCAGCTCTAACCCCGACTGCTCCCGAAAAGAGAATTAATATAATATAACCACTACAAGACCAGGTGTGAATAATATTGCTCTAGTCTTTTCCATTTCTCCCTTCACAGTATAATGAAGCTCCCTTGAGCTTTGGCTATCTTCTATACACACAAAGATATATATATATATATATATATATATTATATAATATTATTAACGGGACCAAAATGGTTGAATCTCGGTCATACGGGGATAGTTGCATGCTTCGGGAAAACTAAACCAAAAATAAAAGTGTTCTTCTTATCATATTGTTTTTTAGGGGACTCTATTGATTAGTTCATTTCTTCTCTCTCTCCTCTTTTTTGTTTTTTTTCTCCCCCGAAACCCCTTGATTTGTTTCCTCTGACTTAATTATATATTTATTATTAAGTTTTTTGATCCACGTTTATAATTCTGTATTGTATTTTTGGTCGCTTTGGGTAGATCTCATTGAGCTGTTCTTAGCTGGAACTGAGGAGGATATATAATGTAATTTAAATAAAAAACATATACCATATAAAAGCAAGAAGTTCCAAAAAGTATATGCTATTTAATTTTTAAAATTCAATTTTGTTTTCATGTTTAACTGTTATGTTCTGCTATTACTCTAATGCAATAAAAAAGAAAAACTTAATACGGCAACAGTATTTGTCTAATGGTCTTATACATGCAATAGAAAATAAATAGGTAAAACTAAAATAAAAAAGAAAAAATAGTTAAATTAAATATGGAGAAGCAAAACAAGAATAAGCTACCTTGTTACTTTGTGGGCTTACAATTGATGTATTGTGTTCATGTCATAGTCATCTAAAATCTTAAGAGTACTTGTCAGTTTTAGAACATTCACTGTTAGGACCAAATTTGAAAATGCTTCCCGTTAGTTTTTTAATAGATTGTTTTGAGGATAATTAAAAGTGAAATCATATTTGATTATATTTATGAAATTTTGGTTTGAGTACATGTAATTAATAATCTTAAATTCATATATTAAATAATTAATAATTAATAATCACTTTAGTAAATAAAAGTTTCGTTGCGTCTATTGACACCTCAGTTCTATTCTTCGCACACCTTTTTTTAATAAAAATCTTTATTACTAAAGCCACATAAAATACATAGCTGGCATTGCCAATGACTCAATCAAGGAATCGGTAGCATTCGGAGATACACGAAAGGTTAATTTCCTAATTTTCTTGCAAGCTCCTTGGATAATAAATATTTTACACGTCTCCCTCTCATCTATTAAGTGGGATTTTGTTAATGCAGATGGTGCCCATTTGACATTTATCAATGAAAAAGTTGGCTGTTCTAAGATTGTCTGGAAAGTTATGGAGACGTGGAAGACAAGAAGTTAATTATTATCCTATTATTTGATACATAACATGATCAATTTTTGGTAATTATTCTTTAAATAATAATCAATTACTAATTATCAATTATTAATTATAATTGCATAGTATATTACAAAATTCATAATTATAAATTAATAGGAATTATTAATTGAGTCATTACTATTTATTTTTTAACTATTAACTAATTAATAAATTACAAGTAATATATTCATATTAATTATCTATTTAATAACCTGTTACTAATAATTCCAAAATTTATATAGACATTAAAATAACAATATTTGGTAATTAATATTTAACTAATAATTAATTACTATTTATTATTTTTTTGATTAATAAATTACAAATTTAATAATAAGAAATTAATATTTAATTGATAATTCAATAATTATTATATATTTATTAATTAATAATTAATATATCACATAATTAGTAATCATTTATACTATTTAATATAACATTGTTGATAAGTATTAGAAGATGAAAATGGAAAAGAAAAAATAATTTTCTTTCATCTTCTAGTTCCTTAATAAAAGTCATTTTCATTGTTTTTTTATTTCATTCTCATTTTCAAAATATTTACTCAACAAACGCAATTTACATAGCGTTTTCATTATCGTGCCTCATATAGAAACCTTTTCAAAAGCAATCAAAATCCAATTCCAATATGAAGGACCAATCATATGACTTTCCTAAACTTTTGTGAAAACAAGATAATCTGTATGAGTGCATTATTTTAAACATGCCAAAGCTGCAATCACTGGCCTCAATATTTTGGGAGGTCTAATACATAATCTTTTAATAGGTCTGCATAATAGAATATTTTCTTCACTTACGCAAGAAGTTCAAGAGCTATGCTTTGACGTCAAAGAGGATATGCTGCTGTTATTTACAGACTCCGGATTGACATTGTAGAGATCATGACTAGAAATGGTGACAGACTCAGGATTGACCTCGTAGAGATCTTGCGCAGATTGAACGAGGCTCTGCGATTCAGTCAGGCTACGTTGTGCCATCTGATCGAACTGCTTTCTCAAGGCTGTAAACCTTAGCTCATCGCCATAAATACTTGGATCCATGATCAAGTCATGTACCGCGGTTCGGCCCTCAAGCATGCTTACAACTGCAGACATTATAGGCCTAAGTGCAGGCGATTGATTTGTGCATAATATGGCTATTTTGATCATTCTAACTGCCTCTTCCTTGTTAAAATCAGACCCCAAGTTTGGATCCACCAGCTCCATTAAATTCCCTTGTTGTTGTAAAACAAGGGCCTGAAAAGAGAAGATCAAGAATGAAATATGCTTTGTAATTGTTGTTTAGCTCTTATTACTAGTTCAAACCCAAAACAATAAGAAATTTATCCACGTTTAACATATTAATATTTTACTTAGTGTCCGATTAATAATAATTAACATATTAAAACCAATGTCGAGTATGACTGGATCAGTACTCAAAAGTCAGATGACCAAATTGAATAAGAACTTGTAAAGAAGCAATTTAATGATGTGTTTATAGTTGTATAAATTAAAAGGCCAAATGGAGAATAGAATTTTCAAGTTCTTACCCAATCCACTAGGCAAACATAGTTTTCATTTGGTCTATATTTCATGTTACTCGTCCCAGCAAGAATTTCTAGTGCAACAACAGCAAAGCTGAAAACATCTGCTTTATAGGTCAAGTAGCCCCATAATGCATATTCTGGTGCCATGTATCCTCTGCACCAATGCACATTGTTATTTGTCTAGCAGCTAATCATTCGCATATCATACACACAAACACGCGTCAGTTGGTAAAGGAAATTATGCTTACATAGTTCCAGCAATTCTTGTGCTAATGTGGGTGTTCTCTTCTTCATCAAGCTTGGCCAAACCAAAGTCGGAGATCTTAGGATTAAGGTCTTTGTCAAGTAGAATGTTGGTAGTTTTGATGTCTCTATGAACAACTCTCAGTGTTGATTCCTCATGTAAAAAAGCCAGGCCTTTTGCTATGCCTACACATATTTTATGCCTTGTAGGCCAATCCAGATTCAATCTGCCATCATCCGGACCTACAATCAAATTAAAATCTTATTAATAAAATAATACAGTTTTGTTTGTTCTTATTCATGTATATATAGGAAGACTTTTTAAGCTTACCAAATAAAGCGCGAGCAAGACTATTATTTTCCATGTATTCATACACCAAGAACAACTGATTCCCTTCAATGCAACATCCGTACAGTCTAACAAGATTTGGATGGTGTAAACCAGAAATCATGCCTATTTCATTTACAAACTCGCGATTTCCTTGCCTTGATTTTGATGAAAGTTGCTTTACTGCAATTATGCTACCATCCAACAATATACCCTACATTGAAATGAAATAACAAGGAGAAATATTCAAATGACAATGATGGTAGAGTAAAAGAAAATGATGCTAAATGATTTTTTTTTTTATTTTAATTTACTCTTTACACAGTACCTTGAATACAGATCCAAAACCGCCTTCTCCAATCTTATTTATTGGATCAAAGTTGTTAGTAGCAGCTTTAATTTGTCTGAATGTAAAAAAACCAGTTTGCAAGTCAAGCCCTCTGAGTTCTGTTCAAGGAAGGAGGTTAGTGTTTAGTGAGTGTAAAATGATTATGACTTTCTTATTTTGGGAAAATTTATTATGTGAAGTGCCTGTAATTTCTAGTTTATTTATTGCTGATACCTTTTTCTCTTGATATGCTTCCTCCAAAGAAGCCTTTCCACCAAAGAAGGCTTATAATTGCAAAAATAAGTCCTAATCCTGAAATGACAGCACCGATTGCAATAGAAATCTTTTTTTTTTCTTCAGGAGGCTTGAACTCTGCATTGGAGAGTATTAGTCAATGACATCCACTATAAGATATATTAGTTATATGTTCTAACACTTCCCTCATGCGTCGGATGCAATCATTAATGCAAATCTATAGGGGGCTTGATTCGGACCTTCTTATCTAGTACCATGTTAGTTTATCGATTTTTCCAAAAGCTAACTTAAGCTATTAAGAGGTGGTCACAAGTTACTAATCTCATCATATTAGATTTTTATTAGGCCTACAATGAACTAACTTCTTGACTTACCAGAGTCCATAGAGATAGCTGATATAAGAGGACCATATGTTCCCCTCTTTGGGGCAGATGTCGTTCCTTTCCCGGACCAATGAAACCGGATCTCCAGAATCTTATTCTTGACCTTGATTTTATTGAATTCCTTAATGACAACCTTGTCAACCCCGCCTGCTTCCTTTTCAATGTTAAAGTCCTTCAGTACCAATTTTTCCTGCAACAATCTTGTATATTAACAACCTTATTCTACAGCATAAAACATTACATTAAGATGCAGGTTGAATTACCTGAATGTAAACATCAAATAATCTCCTTCCAAGACTTTGGAAAGATCTATTGTCTCGAATAATGATCTCTGCAAAGTGAAGCTTCACTGTGTAGTTTCCATTCGCCAGACAGCGCGCAAAATATGTTAGAGAAAGAGCAGAGAGACTGCCTTGAGTGTACAATTCAGAGTTTTTCATTCTGAGTGTAGATACATTCTTTGCTATATAATCTATTGTCTGGTTTGTGCCTACATCCAAGAACTCTCCTGTTGTACTTTTGTCCCATCTACCATATTTTTCAGGTTTGAATTTCGCTTCACCGCCTTGGTTTTGATCCTCTTCATATTTCAATTTTCCAATGGTGGTTTCTTTTCCACCACAGTTTATGTGTAGTGAATAATAATCTGTACAGAAATCGCATTTGAATTACTGTATTAATTATCTTGAGATAGACATAAATGCTAATTGTATTAGTACCATACAAGCAACTTGTTAGTTAGGAATGAAATCAAGTGAATAGTACCTTGTGTACATGTGTTACTTAGGCACTTTGCTAGTGATCTTTATTGATGAAACGTAGAAGAAAAAAAATCAAGTCAAAAGTGGGAGAGTAAAAAATCAAGTCAAAAGTGGGAGAGTTTTAACTTATATTATTGTCGGAAGATCATTAGAAACCTACAAGTTGTCTTTCGAAGAAAAGCTTCTGAACAAATTCCTGATAAAAAACCATTAAAGAAAAGGGTTGATCTGAGAACAGCTAGATAATAAAGGGAGAGAAGGGGGATAAAAAAAATAAAAAAAACCATCATAACAAGGAAGAACAATCTTCTTACAGTGATTCGCTGCAAGTGGATGGGATAGAGCTTTCAGAGAAGTTATTATAGGAAAGATCTGTTCTCCTGCACATAAACATGATTATCCCTTACATCTCTTATCTCTTATATACCATTAATTGTGAGAAAACTATATTTTCTTCTAAGAAAAAAGCTCTTTTTGGACTAAAATGAGCTCACATCCATCTTCATGTTGTCGTACTGAGCAAATTACAAACAAAAGCTCTTAGAAAAAAGGGGTTATATTGTTCCACAAGCATATAGCAGAATGGAGTAAAAAATATATGCCAAGAAGAGGTAATTAAGAGAAGAAGCACAACTAGTACAAGGAACGTTCTTCCATAACAACTGAACTAATAGGTCAAATGAACTTAGGTTGGAGAACGTACAACTTGGTATCCAATCTCGTTTGTATCCATTCTGGAAAGGGATCACTGAGCAAGTTGCTTGTCAAACATCTGTCCATTATCAAGGATCATAATCACATTTTGGAAACGCACACTTGTATCATTACTGTCAAAAAACTATATACAGAAGAACAGAAAATTTCAGGGAAAAAAAAAAAAAAACCCCCCTTTTTAAGTAATACGACCTTCCAAGATATAAGGATGGAAGCAACGTATGCCTTAAAATCTATGCTAATATCAGTTCTTACATTTTCTCCAACCTCTCTAGATATTTCAAATCAGGAATATGACCTTCCAATCTGTTAAAGCTGAGATCTCTACAATACTCAAAAAACAAAACAAAACAAAACAAAAGTTAAAGAACATAAAAAGCATGTTCGGAAATTAAGGGTGAGAGGAACAAGATATTTACAGCTTTTGGAGTTGTCTCAACTGAGATATGAATGGAGGGATATTTCCGTAGAGATTACAACTCCTCAACATCCTGTTTTATGAATAAACTTCAATGTTACGCTCAACTGAGAGTCCCTTTAAATACTACAGCATTATAACACACCATTTGAATGACTTACAATCTACTCAGGTTTGTCATTTTCCTCAAGGAAGGAAAATTTGAGCGCTGCGCTCCATTCAAATCGCTGATCCTTCTGCAAAAAGTTGCATCGTGATCGCGATAATTAATTACTAGCATGAAAAAAAAAAATCTTTTCCTCACATGGAAACCTCCTTAAGCTTTCTAAAAAGAATTGTGAATTTAACTTGGGAACTATGAGCATAGGAGAAAGGACTTACAGTTGAGTTAAATTAGATAATACAGATATACTAGAAGGGATTGGCCCCTCGAAACCACTGGCTTGGATTTCTCTGTTAACAACACAAACACATATAGACTTACTTGAAAGATTGGATAGACTTACATATAGAATGAGTGTAAGGATTTACACTAACAATTTCTCAAGATTTGGCCAATGGTGGAAAACATCGGGTATTCTTCCCGTGAAGTTATTGCTACTAATTCTACTGCATGTTGTGAAAATATAAACAAAAATATTTAGGACATGTGTCAGAAAAGATGCATGATTTTTTTCTTCTAGAAGTAGAAAATTAAGTTTAAGAATTTACAGTTCTTTCAATTTGGATAGGCTAAAGAGAGCCGAAGGCAATGATCCGGTGAGATTATTAGAATTAAGAATCCTGCATCGCCAATGAGAAACTTCTTATGTTATACAGAGTAAATAGTTCTCATTACACAAAATATAAGAAGAAAACAAAAAGTAGCAGAAGTACTTAAAGGAGATAAAGGAATTAAACTTACAGATTTACCAAGTTAACCAAATTCCCCAGCTCAGGTGGAACGGGGCCTGAGAACATGTTGCTCTCTAAGCTCCTGAAAGTATGGCCTTTATCAACTACATATATTTGCACAAATAATTTTACCAAAAAAAAAAAAAAAACCTGGTTGACAATTGAGAGAAAAATACGTATATCATACACATATATGAGACTTCTAATGTTTCCCAAGTAGCTAGGAATCGTTCCCGTTAAGTTGTTCACATTGACGGCCCTGCATTTTTGGTGCAAATTAAACCAAAATGTCATTGAAATTTGACACACAATTTTAAAGTTACCAAGGTCATGAGTTGTTTACAGGTATTCCAAGTGCTTCATGGTAGCCCATTCCCTTGGTATGTTGCCATGGAGATAGTTCCTCGTGAAGTCGCTGTAAAAACATTATGGTCATGTTTGGTAACTTTTATTGTGTTATAATGTCATATTATAATACGGTGTTTGGTATCATAACGTATTTTATAAGGGGTTAAAATGAAAAAATTTAATAATTTTGGGGTCAAAATGCAATTTTTAAAATTTTTGGGATCAAAATGAAAAATTTTAATAATTTGGGGTCAAAATGAATTTTTTAAAAGGTTTGGGGTCAAAATGGATAAAAATTTTCAGATCAAAATGTAATTTTATAAAAGTTTTGGCATCAAAATATAATTTTACAAAAGTTTTGGGGTCAAAAATGTAATTTTTAATAAATATAGAAATTGCGTTGTGCCTCCTAAATTTTTCAACCATTATAGGCTCCTGCATGACCCTATGTTAACCCGACCCTGACATCTAGTCGTGCCTAATCCCAACGTGAATAATTGATTCATTATAAAATAATACAATATAATACGCCAAAAATGTGTCATATATAACAATACGACATAAACTGTATTAATATAGCATCTGTATTAGGTTACACAATATGATGGTCACACCAAACATTATATTGTTGTTTAATTATATAATACGGTACTCTAATACGGTTAAAGAAACATGTCCATATATATGTACTAAAATATATCAGAAAGACCCAAGTCAAATTTCTGTGCATGGCAGCTAGTGCAAACATTTCCCTTACACTTGTTGGAGGTATGGTAACTTAGCAAGAGATGGAGGAAGCACTCCATCAAGATCCTGCCCTTTAAGAAATCTGTATTACATAATGAACAAGTTTGGAAAAAAAACTTAAAGACCAACACAGAAAGTAGATGTGAAAATTATGAAATTCAAATTAAAAGGATTCGAAGTGAAAACCACCTACCTAACCAATTTTCCTAAAAGCTTGAGCTTACGGAAGTACAAATTCAAATTTCAAACTAAGTTCCAATACATGTCGAATAGAAATTTCTAAGTTACTGATTCTTCCAAACGTTCAAGCTGTGAGAAATTATAGTTGGTCAAAGTTTTTTTTCTTCTTCTTCTTCTTCTTTTTTTTTTTTTTTTTTTTTTTTTTTTTCTAATTGTCCTGTCCTGTTTTCAGTTCATAAAATTTGGATAAAATAACAACCATAACAAATCCAGAATCTAAAAAGTGCTTACAGGTGAATAACGTGGCAAATTCCATTGCTGCAATTGCAATTGACAGTATTGTTGTACAATGGCATGCCATCAGGCATTGGTGTGATCCATATTTTGTCTTTACTGCAGGGGTTTATGCTGAAGTTCCAGTCTTTCTTCCCAACTTCTTTAGCTATTTCTTTTAGAGCTTCCACTGTCATAAGAATCCCAAGATCAAACTCATCATGGAGTTCAGTTATACAAAAACAAACATATATATCTATATATATATATATATAATATAGTTTGTTTCTTCTCATCAAATTAGGCAGCAAAAACTACTTACCTTCATCAGCGTGAAGTACTTGAGCGTGTGTTAACAGCACTCCATTGCAACTCCACAGAGTGATAAAAAGTAGAAGAAACCACCACTGCTTGGCAAATAACATTCTTATAATTGTTTGTGTTCTCAAAAGAAGAGTTTTGCAAGTATTATACTATTTATATAATTCTCTTGTTATTGGTTTTTTATTATCCTCTAAAGTACTTAAAAGAGAACAATATTAGTGTAATCAAATGAATGCAGAGAGTTATCATATATATAGATCCAAACTTTATGAGTAAACTTGTTCTAAAAATAGTTTTCTTCGTGGACATCAAAGTTTGCTATTGACACTTGTAGAAAAAAGTGAATTCAATGCATACATTAAAAGTAATTCTGGGTCCACCGTATGATTTATGCAATAAGAACCGTTCACACCTACATGGGCATATATGCAAATTGAAGACAAATAACATTTTTCATCCAATTGATTAGTACTCGCTTTTTTTTTTTTCTTTTTTTGGTTGGAAAAAAACAATTAAGTGGCTTCTCAAGCCAAGGTTGATGCGTAAGTATATTCATTTTACAACTCAAATTATACTTAAGCTATGACTTGAGTTGTGTATGTGAGAAAAAAATACTATAATAAAAAAATTAAATTTAAATTTTTATAAGTAAAAATACTATAATAATAAAACTTAAGTTGTGAAATGAATAAAGATTGAGAAAGGATAAAGAACCAATTTAAGTTAGCTGTGGAAGATAGCGACTGCACAACGTACAAATAGTTATTCTTCAGATAGTCCAACTTTTCATACATTATATTTGATTGTATTCTCAAAAGAAGTGCTTTTATAAAAAGTATTTTACCATTTCTATAATTCTCTTGTTATTGATTTTTATTATCCTCAAAAGTACTTAGATCAGAGAATAATAGAGTAATCAAATGAGTGCATCGAGTTATTATCATATATAAGTTAATGAGAGCAAACTTGTTCTAAAAGTAGTTTTCTTCATGAAACGAAGTTTGTTATTGACAGACACTTGTAGAAATGCAAAAAAAAAAAAAAAAAAAAAAAAAAAAAAAAAAAAAAAAAAAAAAACAACTTGTCAAAAACAAAATCAACTGTCAGTAGTACGGTGATCAAGACACATGATAATTAATTACTTGTCTAGCGTGTTCATGCAAGCAAGTCAAACTTTTCGTACGTTAAAAATAATTTTGGGTCCACAGTATGATTCAAGTTATGCAAACGAGAACCGTGCACATTTTCATCCAATTGATTAGTACTTTTTATTTTATTTTATTTTCATTTTTGCTCAGAGAAATAATTTATTAGTTGCTTCTCAAAGTCAGGGTTAACGCCTAAGTATACACTGAGAAAACAAAAAGGGCCCAAGTTAAGCTAGCTCGGTGAGATAGGGACTGTGTATGAAGCTTTTCAACCATTCAACACGCAAACTTATAAATGCATACCAACACCAACGTACAAGTAATTTATATTCTTTAAATAATTGTACTCTCATAAAAATTAATGGATTTTACAAAATAAAAATTAAAATACGATCAACTTCCTAATTGTTATGAAAGGATGTAATTAGTTCTACTTTTCCTCTTTAGACAGCCTTAATTACCATATAAAGCATTTAGTCTCAGAATAGATTTATGGGTTCAGGAAGAAATTTTAAAGCTAGCGAGATTGCTATTTTCCGTCATGGCTAATGTTTTGGTAAGATCTTTCTTAATTCTTGTTGTGACATTGAATGAGCAAATTAATGCATATAAAGGGTATGTTTGTTCACAAATCAAGTTAAGAAATTGAGTTGTGTATGTGAAAAAAAAATATTATAATAAAAAAAATTTGAATTTAAATTTTTATGAGAGAAAAGTTTAGTCGTCACTTGAGTTGTGAAATGAACAAAACCTTATCTTGATCTTATGCACATACATGGATTTAAATCTCTTGTTTAATTTTTAATGTCTCAAATAGTGTCAAACTAATAATCATAATTTTTCATATCATTTAGCGGACTTAAATAATAAAGATGTAAAAAATCATTTAAAAGATATTTTATCAATATTTTTAAAGATGACAAAATAAGAAGAATAAATCTCTTTTTGGTAAATCAAGAATTCTGCCTAGTTTTCAACGTCCTCCACATAACTTTTGGCTTATTCAAGTACGACACAACACAAAACTAATCAAAACTCTTGGTCTAGGGGCATAGCCTGGTCTTTTATTTTTGTATTTTTAATTTTTGGTAATTGGGACTGGTTTTATTGTTCACACGTTGATTGTACACATTTTCGGTCTCTTTGGTAGCTTTTTTTTCTTCTTCTTCCTTTTTTTTTTTTTTTTTTTTTTTTTTTTTTTTTTTTTACTTCTAATCGTATTTCTCCTAGGCCTATTTCATTCGTGGTTGAACTTTATAATTAAATGTTCCCGAACTGTTCTTGTCTGCTAACACTTTAACAGAAAAGTTATTATCCCAATAATTCACATTGATTCTCTTGCGTAATTTGTGTCGGCAGGCAGAATACTTTCCTTGACTCGGGACAGTGAGATGCATGCAGGTCAATTGTGCACAAAAAAATAGAAAAATAAGTAGCTGAATATATATATTTAAAAAAAGTGGTACTAGTGTTGACATCTAGAGTGCATTAGTAATGACTTTTAAAATGATTTTATTTTTAATAAAAAATAAAAATGAGATTATTTTGAGAATTATTTTAAGATCGATTCTGAAATTATATTTAGTTAGTTTTTTAAGAGATTATTTTAAGTATAATAAAAATGTAAAATCGTGTTTATTAATTAATATATTATAATATTATTGATAAATACTAAAAAATAAAAACAGAAACGTGAAAATAACTTTTAACTGTTTTCTAATTCCTTCACAAAAACTATTTTTACTGTTTTGATTTTTGTTTTCAAAATATTTACTAAACAAACGTCGTTTCGTTTCATTTTCATATTTTACTTCTCGAAATGTGTGAAAACCGTTTTCAAAAAACGATTCCAAACACGCACCTAGTTTTAACCCCTTCCTGCACTAAGTCAGTAAAGTAACCCCTCCACTTATATCATATCATATGTAATCTAATTTAATCTAATAAATATAAAAAAGTCAAAACTCTTTTTTTTCTCTTACATCTTTTTTTTTCTTTTATAATTTTATCTTTATTATTTATATTTTAATTTTTTATATTTTTTATGAATATTTCTTTACATTTTAAATTTTTTGTGTTTTCTAAAAAATAGATTTTTCTCACTTTATTCGTATTAAAATAATTTTTTCAGAAAGAAAATTACAGAATTTAACCTTAAGAGTATATAAATCTCAACTTTTATTTTTTTTATCAATATAATTATTTGACCAAAAAAATTATTAATATAAAATACAGAATAGAAATCCTGATCCATGCAATTTTAGAAATACCTTTTTCCTAAATTAAACGATGCCCAAAAAAGCCTTGGGAAACAAAACGGAAGTTGGTCCGTCTGGGCTTGGAAGCACAACAAGATCACAAACAATCAAATTGGCAAAGAAATCCGGGTGAGACCACTGCCATTGTATGACAGAGAAATTAGGCTAATTCCAAGGCTAGACTGCCCACTTTTTTACACCAATGATATGCTTAACACATAATCTATTAATTTGTCTAACCTTTAAAACGATGTTCATCCACATATTTGGATTGAGCCATCAATACAATTAGGCTTTGAACTGAACATAATATATGTTGGGCAATTTAATCAGAGATCAGATTCTAGTGTAACTAGTTCTAGATGAGTTTGGTTAGCTGGAAATTGTAGAGGCTATTCAAGCTCTCTTATGAATAGTTTTCATTATTCGAATTCTCTTTCATTTCCTTGTAGGATCCAGATCTTATGTCTAACTTTTAATGTCCTAATCGGTGTCTAATCAATCGAATAACACATCATCATCTCATGATAAGCATAAAAAAATTAGTTAAAAAATAATTTAAATTTTTCACATGATATAGCATAATATAATTGGTTACACATCATTTGAAACACTAAATTTAGACAAGAAATCTATATCATTCTCTGTAATACCCCAAGCTCTGTTCTGAATAGTTTTAATTTTGTAAAGGTTAAATTCACCTCTTAAAATAATTCTCTATGGGATCTATATATGTTTGTACTCTTTTATATGTTACAGACTTGCTTTGCAAGATAAAAAGTACACTAAGAAATACACAACCCAATATGAAACACTACAACATCATGCAAATTTACTACACTATGAAATCAAACACCATACTATACTATAGGACACAATACAATACAAGCTATTGAACATGGCTAAAGATTTTCAAGTCTATCTACTCATGCGTAAAGTTCCTGGCCCAAAGAAAGAAACGGAAGTGTAACGCCGTTGTTCTTTTGAAGTTAACGCAACATTGAAGAACTATCTGTGACATCAGAGAAGAAATCACTATTGTTTGCAGACTGGAGATTGATCTGATAGAGATCATGGCCAGATATAGTTAAGGATTCTGGATTCATCGGGTAGAGATCATTGGCAGAAGTACTTGCGGCGGGTTTGTTCAAATTAAAATCGGAACCTTGGGTATCAAGTGTATTCTTGTTTTGAGTTTGTTGATAGTAGGCTTTGAGGCTGTTAAATCTCACATCATTTGTCAAAACATCACCGTAAATACCAGGATCAGAAACCACTTCCTGAACCGTGGTTTGCTCTTTGAGCATGTCGATGACATCGGACATTGTAGGCCTCACCATTGGAGATGCATTGGTACATAAAAGTGCCACTTTGATTACTCTTTCAACCTGTTCCTTGTTGATTTCGCCTAGATCTTGATCCACTATCTCCAACAATTCTCCTTTCTGTTGCAAGACAAAAGCCTGCAAGAGAATGAACTAATTAAGATCGACCACCAAAAGTTTTAATTTTTTCATATAAATGGATAAGATTGATATCATGCAGAAAAAAAAAAAAGCATAAACGTAAACAAAAATTTCCTTCCTTACATAATCAAGAAGGCAAACACATCCATTTTGAGGCCTGTAATTTGTATTACTCTTCCCACTGACAATTTCTAAAGCAACCACCCCAAAGCTGTACACATCTGCTTTCTCAGTCAAATAACCCCATAGTGCATATTCCGGAGCCATGTATCCGCTAATAACATAACAATACCAACAAAAAAAGCAGAGCATTCAATATTTTGTTAGCAAACTCATCCAAATTACTTGTTTTGACAAATTCTAACTCACATAGTTCCAGCAACTCGGGTACTAATGTGGGTGTTCTCATCTTCATGAAGCTTAGCCAATCCAAAATCCGAAATCTTGGCATTAAGATCCCTGTCGAGCAGCACATTTGTTGCCTTGATGTCTCTATGAACAATCTTCAGAGGTGACCCTTCATGAAGAAAGAAAAGACCTTCGGCTATTCCAACACATATGTTGAACCTCGTTGCCCAATCCAGTTTTGGACTACTTGTTCCTGGACCTGCATATCACACCATTAAGGCCGTAATGTTGTTTAGTGCCTGCGGCCAATCAATTTAGGATGCGCTGAGATTCTCTGATATGATTTACCCTTTTAGATTTGCATAAAAAAAAAAAAAATAACGCGTGATAATCTCGTGAAGAGGAAAATTGTAACTAACCAAAAAGTGCACGGCCAAGGCAATTATTTTCCATGTACTCGTACACAAGCAGTAGCTCGTCGCGTTCAATGCAACATCCATAAAGCTTCACTAGATTTGGATGCTGCAAGCCAGATATCACGCCTATCTCAGTTATAAATTCCCGATTTCCTTGGCTGGATTTTGAAGACATTTTCTTGACAGCAATGACTGTACCATCTGATAACTGACCCTGCATAGTAGTTACACTCAACCAAGTTAAATCTATATCTTCATATTTGACATGTAACAGCAAAGGCAAGCTCAACTAACCTTGTAAACACTTCCAAAACCACCTTCTCCAATCTTGTTTTCGGGACTAAAATCGTTAGTCGCAGCTCTCAGTTGTCTCAAACTAAACGAGCCTGTTAGCAGCTCTAGTCCCGTAAGGTCTGACCACAAAATTGGAGCAATCGTCAGGCAATATTATGCGAGAAACTCGTTTTATAAAGAAAATGATTTCACCATCTAGCAATTAAGTTAATGACATTTCAATCAGTAACGCGAAATTTTTTGCGTGCACCTGCAGATCTTTCTCTTTTGTATTTATTCCGGCGATATCTTCTCCAAATGAGGACACCAGTTACCAGGGAGAATAGGCATAAGACTGAAGCAATTATAGCAGCCACAAAAGATTTCTTTTTATGTTCTACAAATGGGAGAATGTGGGAAGGAATCAAACAACCAGCACTAATTAAAGGAAACAAGAAAAACTATAGTAGTACACACTAATTATATTAGTCACCTTCACAATGAGATTTTGAACCTGAAAAAGCAAAAACCAGAAGCGATGTTCAATACATGACATTACGTTACCAAAACTATATGCTGAAACAAGAAGACACCTAAATATATATTTTTTTCAATGAACTGATGAGAGAAGCCAACTAGTATCAAGGCGCAAGAAAACATTAATTTATTTTATTTTTTGTAAAACACGTGGATATTTCTTTTAGTGATAAACACTATAGTACTATAAACGTGTAATTTTGCCAATATTAACTGATCATAAATCGAGCTGAAATTGTCTGTTCTACAAACGTGAATCCTAACATATATATATAATGACTGTTAAATTTGAAACAGCAACAACTTACTTGGACAGACGGAAATAGCAGATATAAGAATACCATAACTTCCCCTCTTAGGAACGACAGTGGTGCCTTTTCCAGCCCAGTAAAAGCGAATATCCAGGGTATGATCGATCACACTCACATTGCGATAGTGCATTACAACAGCTTTATTACCAGTTCTATTGGCTTCCTCTTCTATATTAAAATCCTTGGACAATATCTTTCCCTGAAAAACAATAGAGAAAAAGAAACTTTCAGGTTTCTTGTATTTCAAACCTAAAATGCTAAGCAAAACAAAAATCAATAATATCATTGTATAATTTATTCCAAAAAAGTTATAGCTCTACAATTTGTTAAAATTTAGTTTGATTCGCACTCTCCAAAAAAAATAAAAAAATAAAAATTCTGGCGCCGCCACTTAGTAGAAGACTATTCATTGCTTTTTTTTTTTTTTTTTTTTTTAAAAAAAATATATATATATATACTCAATTATAAGTATACCTGAATGTAAATGTCAAATATTCGCCTCCCAATACCGCTGTAATTTCCAAATATGATCTCCGCAAAGTGCAGTTTCACCGTGTACGTTCCGTTTTCTAGACAAGCAAAGTAGGTAAGAGACAACGGAGATATACGTGCTGTGTTATACAATGATTCTGAATCCCCAAACTGCTCCTCAGTTTTCACAATATGACTAATCGTATCACCATCGTCATCCATGAAATCTCCGGTGCTACTAAACCCCCAGTATTCTCCAGAATTGTGACTCTTTGCACCGCCATATCCATCGGTTGTGTCCTCCTCATACAGAAGGCTACCATTGGCATTTTTGACTGTTACACTCGGCCCACCACAATTTATATGAAGCGAAGATTTGCGGTCTGTCACGATTTAACCAAGATTAATTATGTCATCATATTACTAAATGTCCAAACCTTCATGACTTTTCTTTCATTCAGAAATACTTAAGTAATTATAATCCTATTTCTTAATGAGTTAAAGAATGCACATAAATACGACGTTTATCGTTATACTTAGTAATATTTTTTTAAGGAAAAAAAAAAGATTAAAAAAAAAGTACAAAACCTTACATGTTTGGCAATTGAATGTAGGCGAGCAAGGAAGAAGGCTCTGTCTGTTTGAAACGAGGAATGGAATTTATAAGACATTAATTGATGCTAACCGGTCGAATAAATATGGACACTTTTAACAATTGATACGAAAATTTCATTTTTTTAGAAAAAATAAATAATAAAAAATAACGAACACGCAATTAGAGAATAACAATCTTACTGGCTGTTGAAGGATGAAATCCGATACGTGTTTACTCTGTCCAGCCTGAAAGATTTAGAAAAGAAATTAAGCTACATATGCAAGCTACAAATATAATTAATATAAGTGGCAATCTTGAGAGCGTATTGTCAGTTATCACCTTGCCAAATTGCATGGGGTGTCTGACCAAGAAAAGTTATTATAGGACAGATCACTGGAAAAGATAGAAACATTAGAAACCTTTACACGCACTTTTATTTATGTATTTTATTTATTTTTTATATTCATAATTATTTTGTGCATGCATGTAGGACAGATGTGTAATTCGTTCAATAATTATTGTTTATGTAAAACAAATTTAATTTATCGACAAACTATTGTTACACCTTTTTTATTATAATCTTTTTTTTTAATAAGAAAAAAACTTTATTGTAAAGAAAAGAAAAAAGTTTAAACAAACCAAAATATAAAACAGCTAAGCAAAATATAGAGAAACCAAATCAAAAGCAAACAAACCCAAATTAATAAAATTGCGTGGCACTTTTGGTATGTGATACACTCGCAGTTTCTTAAAATAAAGAAATATATATTAAGAAAAAATTGAAACTATAATCTGAAGATTGACTGTCTTTATGATTGTTGTTGAGACTACATCATGCATTTTCTTTTCAAACAAAAAAAAAAAGGAAAATTTATGCTGCCAGGGGGATATTTCCGGCACCGTACCGAGAGATACGATAATTTGTGAAATTTTACGTTAAAACTTACAAATTCAAACAATAAAATTACAAACTCGAACGACAATTTGTAAAATTTGAATTTTACGAGAACTTGCAAACTCGAATGATAGATCGTAAAATTTAAAATTTCACAAATTATCATTTGAGTTTGCAATTTTATCGTTTGAGTTTGTAAATTCTAACATAAAATTTCACTATCCCTGTACGGTGCCAGGAAAAAGTGCCCCAGCAGCATAAAACGACCCAAATAGGATAAGTTTGGTTCATGAGTTTAAACCATGGTTTTTGATTTTAACTTTTGAAATTCAAATTTTTTATGAAAAAAATAGTATTGTAGCGTAACCAAGAACCATAATTTAAACCATATACAATCCTCGTAAGAAACATCATCTAAAACAATTGCAAATCGAATGCAAAAAGGAGAAATAATTATGGTCATGACGAGCTACCAAAAAAAATATATATTTGAATTGAAATTATGCCAATAATATTAGAACATACATATCGTCAGTCTGAGAATTGTCAAGGAATGACTCGGGTACTCTTCCATTGAACTTGTTGCTCGTGAAAAACCTGATAATGAGTTAATAATATTTCAGCGAAGACTTAACTCAAATACGGTACGTAATATAAAAGCAACAATCACATAAAAAAAAAAATAAATAAATAAAAATTAGCGTCAAGAGTACTACTGCAGACTGCTTACATAAATTTTGCTGTGACGGACTTAGCATATGGTTCTCCTTCCAACTCATTAAAGCTTACGTCTCTGAGAAAAATTTCCAAAAGATGTTAATGTTACAGATGAATTTTGTGGCATGGGCATGTCTCAAATCATAGAAAACATGGAGGAAATAATTAATAATAATATATTATATGCACAACCAGATTCCAGCCAAAACAGAAAATGTATAACATGCAACCAGTATCAAGTTTAGAAGTATACTTACTATGGAGGCGTTTAGTATGGGATAATCTTTGAGTGGGATTGAGAATCTTCACACATTACTATGTTCGGTACAAGAGTTGTGATTTTTAAATTCTCAGAAATATCAATCCTATGGGATTCATTTTACCTTAAAATGGGGTAATTTGAATAACACCCAATATGGTGTTATTTATTTTCTCGGAAATGTGATTATCATACAAAACTCATGACTTAAACAAAAGAAAAGATAACTTAAATCAAAATTCATTCACTGTTCAAAGCCCCACCAAGACTCAAGACACTGTCGCATATCCACTACCATCGCAACCCCACCTCGCCAGCCGCCATCGAATCATATTTATGGGAATCTCACCATAATACCCAAACTCACAGCCCACCCACACCACCATCACCATAGATCTTGACTTGCCCAACACCACCACCAAACTTGCAGACCTGTCTCCAATACTCATCTATCGGCCGCTGGCCATCTCCTCCCCACCCCATGGCTCCGGTCACCGAGAAAGACCATGTCGTAGGCCCCCTTCTGTCTCAACCCCCGTCCCCCCTTCAATCGTTTCCTCTCCGTGCCACCAAATATGTCGGGTGGGAAGTAGCCGGATAGAGACCAACTGAAGAGGTCGAGCTTGACGACAAGGCCTCAGTCATCACAGGTGTTGGTGTATTTACTACTAATGATAATCATTTCTTTCCCATCAGCCATTAGGTGAGAAAGTGAAGCAATCATGATCTTGTTATGTAATAATTAGTGAGAAGACAAACCCGCATTGTCTTTTATGAATAATAACGTTTAAAGGAGAAATATTTGTAAAAAAATAAAATGAAAAAGAGGTTTGAATTTGAAAGGGTGATCTTGGGGGGAGTGTGAAGAAGGGAGTGATGATTGATAAATGAACAAGAACGAGGGTTTTAGCTGGCAATTGAATGATGAGTCATGCGGGGATCAGCGGGGCATTGAAACAAGGAAAGGAGCTTGTCAGAAAGACTATAGAGCAAAATCCTCACCAGTGTTTAAAGATCACATTAATTCTCTTGATCCCATTTGATTCTTTTTTTATTCTAACTGATTATTCATCTCTTGATAATTAACCCTATCAAAAAACACTGGTGAAGAGTGCCATGATCTATTGGTACTTGATTTTTGATTATTGATTCTTGATCCTTTTGAAGAACGTCCATCAAAGAGAAAAGAAAAGAAAAAAAAAAAAAAGGTGCTGTGAAGCTCATATAAATTTTAGCCTGATACTAAAAATTGATCTCTTGATCTAAAACCATGATGTGAAGCTCATGTGAACTTAAGTTTGACATGTTGATCCAATAGGTCCATTGATTTCTCAACCTCATTTGATTTTATCTGGTTGTTCCTTGATATTTGGACGAGGATTGATGGGCCAGCTCTAGGTTTTTGCACGAACATGAAGCGGTATAGTGATTTATCGGGACTCTCAATTACTTATCCCCTCTCATCAATTAAGTAAAAAAAGATTAATTAACTCGCCTATCAAGTTAAATTCCATTAAGTTGAAAAGTATTAAAAGAACAAAACAGCCTAGCCTAAACAAAGACAATCAAAGAAGGGAAATTTAACTTACAGCATGTTCATCTGAGAGATCATTTTCCAGATTTCATCGGGGATGGTTCCAGATAAATTCACGTTTCTCAATACCCTGAGGAACAAGTTTTCTGCAGGTTATCTCAATTGAAATCCGCAGCATAGAAACAGATATATAGTTGTATAGCGATAATTAATTGTCACAAACATATTGTTTCATACAAGTTCATCTCCGTCCGGTTGCTGCGTAGAGCCGGAAAGTCAGACTTCGGACCAGCCATATCAGTAATCGTCCTATAAAACACGAGTTAACAAACAATTAAGCAACTCATGATTCAACTTCTTTACAATTAAGGCCTCGTTCATTTCGCTCGTTCGAGTGAAGAACTTGAGTTAAAAAGTAAATTCATATGAGAGAAAACACTGTAGTAGAAAAATTAAATTTAGATTTTTGTGAGAGAAATAACTCTAGTAAAAATTTGAGTTATGATTTGAACTAACGAAATGAACGAAGCCTAACTCTATTCACTAAGCATGCGCTTAGTGAAATATATTCAACAAGTTAGTGTTTGCTCACAGCTCTTTTAAGTTTCCTAAATGTTGAAAAATCTCTGCAGGGATAGGTCCTTCCAATCCAGTTGCGCACAGTTGCCTTCATTTTGAGAAAATGTAAACGAAATGGGTCATAGATATACATATATATATATATATATATTTATATATGTTGAAATTTCCCTTATTATCTAAAGCTCTTGACATCAATAAAGTTTAAGATTATATATATAGAGAGAGATTACAGTTTGGTAAGTTGTAAGAAGTTCGCTATGAATTCTGGTATAGGGCCTTCAAAGTTATTATCACTTAGCCGGCTGTTATATCACAAAGCAAAAGGAATTTGGTCATGTTAAAATTATATTTAAGGTATACATACTATAAATATTGCACTGATACAAACAAATATCAGAACTTACAACTCCTCCAACTTATTAAGGTTTGCAAGAGTCTCCGGCAACCTTCCCACAAACTTATTTGAGGAAAAGATCCTAAATTTAAATTAAAAAGAAAAAAAAAACCAAAAAAAACAAAAATTTAGCTAGCTAGCAGCGAAAAGAAGTTATTTGTCTTAATTATAATATTTATCTTACATGAAAACAATATTAATGCTAGTCTTATCTCTTCAGTTTATTACTTAAAAAATATATATATATTGGGCAATAAATAAAAGAGTGGAAAATCTAGGTAATAGTTACATACAGGTGGGTTAGGCTGACCAAATTACCAAGCTCCTTGGGAACATTACCAGAAAAATTGTTGGCTTCAAAGCTCCTGCATTTTAGTTATTGACCAGTAAGAAGGGATTTGGATCTCCTTTCCAATTTTGATGTCAAACATGACATCTAACTAGTCACATTGTAACATGTCAATTTAACAAATTAAAATAGTTTAACCTTAACTTTTTCATGCTTTAATGTTTGGATCTGTCAAATGACGTGACATAACATAATTAATTAGACACCAGGTGAGACAAAGAATTCACAAGAATATATTATCATAAAAAACCAAAACAGACAAAATGGGTTTGCCATTTCCATGTGAGACAAAGAATTCACAAGAATATATTATCATAAAAAACCAAAACAGAATCTACAGAATCATACAGGTAAGTAAGACTGGAAAAATTTCCCCACTCTTTCGGAATTTCTCCTGATAAGCGATTGGCGGTGAGAGAACTGCACAAAAATTTTGTAGGTCAGCTCCATTTAGGAAAGATAAAACAAAACGACTAAACAAGAGCTAGATTTTGCCATGTTTTTTTACAACTCTTGTAATTAAGACCAAACGATATATACTTACATGAAGGTCAAGTTCTCCATCGTACTCCATATTGGCGGAAGTGAGCCGTGAAGAAAGTTACGGGTGAAGTCACTGCAAAGTCCAAAATAATGAAGTACCAATTCTCTAACATATATATATATATATATATATATATGATCACTACCAAGAAAATAAAACCGATATTCTTTTGAAGTGGATGGAATATGTACCGAAATATATAGCAACTGCTTTTGAGAAATCAACAAAGATATGGGTGGTGGAAAAGCCAATGGGAAGAAAAAAAAATAATAAAAAAATAAAACTTACACTTTTTTAAGATACTTAAGATTGACTAGTTCAGGCGGAAGCTTCCCCGAAAGATGTAGGTCTTTCAAACGCCTAGCAAACGAAGAAAAATGCTGAAGAAATATATTTTTACTTAACTAAATATCGCATTGATAGTTGGATGATATATAATTGGAAAATTTTTCTTGTGGAGGATATATTTAAAAAAGGATTATAGATATTTTCATTAGTAATCTCTTCTATATATATATATATATATATAAACATAATTTCATATTCTTCCAAACGTACAATGGCAAAGAATATTATTTATTTCCTTTTAGTAATGAAATTTCCCTTTATCAAAAAAAAAAAAAAAAACGAATATTATTTATATTATCAATATTAATGCATTTTCGAATTCATCCAGTTCTACAATTTTAGTTCACAACTTTCTTAGGAGCCAAATATAATGCTGAAACTTAAAGGGGTATTAGCATTTTGGTTCCCGAATTATGAGCATTGTGTTACTTTCGTCATTAAATTTTTAATTTTGACAATTAGTCACTAAATTTTTGTTTTTTAATTGTTTTGATCCCTGTAGCAAAATTGGTGAATGATTTCTGAAATTTAACACAGAGAATCACTTCCCAATCTAAATAACTAAAATAATTTTTACAGCAATACTTACACTAAATGAAAATATTCTTTTCATGGTTGTTAAAAACTAAAAATTTACATTTAAAGTAACTTTTTATATAAAAATTTCAGTTACTATGTATTGAAAGTAATTGTCTCAAAGAAATGTTAGAATTCCTTTCTCTAATAATTTTTAGTGTCATGGACGAAAGCTGTGAAAAAACCAAAATTCAGCTTGTAATTTGTTAAAAAGGAAAATACCTAAAACATCCCTTGTAGTTTACTTAAATACAACTTTTTTCCTCTTATTATATAAACTGCCCAAAACAGGCCCCCTTGCGTTTATAAAATCAATGTCAAAACATCCCCTGAGTCAATTATTATTTTTTAAATCCAAGATGATCCTTCCCAACCGAAAATACAATTCAAAAATCAAAACATTATTAAACCAAAATATTAATTAAAATCAATTTTAGAAAATAAAAAAATTCTCAAAATAAATGAAATATTTTTTTAATTGAAAAGTGAACATTTTTAAAATTTTAATTTATTGATACTTAAAAGAACATTTTATACGTACGTATAGGGAAGGATAATCTTGGTAATTTAACAATTTAATTGCTTCAGGAGGTATTTTATGACTGATACTATAAACATAGGAGTGTTTTGGCTATTTGAATATTAAAAGGGATAAAAGTGACATTTAGACTAAACACAAGAGTGTTTAGTTATTTTTCCTTGTCAAACATAAAAATTCAGTGCAAAAGTGAGATGATTCTCATAATATTGGGACGGATATTAGTGCTAACACCCCAAACTTGAAAGGTTAGAAACAACGTACAATTCGGTAATGTGATAGACACCGCTGTTGCCTCCAAGTTTACATGTAATATTCACATTTTTGGTGCGCTGAGGTCCGCAAGGGTTGTCTAAATTCCAAGTCGACCCTGACTCCATTGTGATGGCCATTTGTTGAAGTGTTCGTACTGCAAATTGTATAAGACTGCATTAATTCGTAAATACTAAACAAAGCAGAGATTCTCGGTTTTTATTTTTTATTTTTAATATTTTTCATAATTCATCCTGGGATCATAAGTGTACCTTCCAAAGCTAATAGCAATTTATCAATTAAAAAAAGAATTATTTTCATAAATACCCTTTAAATCATGTATCCTATTTTAAAAAATGTCTCTTAATTTATCAAAACATTTCAAAACACCTTTTAATATATAAAAAACATATTAAATTACTCATTCTATTTACATTCGTTTATAATCTTAACAGATCTCATGATATGACACTGATTTTAAAATATTAAAACTTAATTAAGCTTAAAAAAGATTAATCATTAAAAATTAATAAAAATATTCCGAATATAAAGATAAAAATTTAAATTAATTTTAGACCAAAAAAAACTCCAACAAGAGAACTTTACCAATCCCCTTCAACACTAGAATATGTTTCAGACGAAAAAGTTCACACCAGTGTATCGCAACATAAAGTGATCATAATTCACTCAGACCATTAAGCACTAGTCCTCAAGATTGACTTGCCAAAAAAAAAAAAAGCAATAAGAACATCAAGCTCAATAATGGCATCTTGACATCGTCAATAAAGTGAAATTCGTGAAATTGCTGGTAAAATATATTGCATCGGCTCGCGAGGGATGCCAGGGAGAAGGGAGATCTAACACGGTGGAGTACGGTAAAGAATAGATCTGGGCTCGTGGCAGCTTGACGGACCTAGGTTCGCGCAGCAGAGACGTGGGCTCGACGGGGCTTACACGGCGGATGGCCAGGCTTGCGAAGGGTTGCTGCGGCGAAGACGGGTCAGGCTCGCATGAATCTGGAATTCGGCGAAGGTGGGGCTCGACGCGGCTGCTCCGCCACAACGGTGATGAGGCTGGCCTGTGCTCGGAAATACTTCGGCAAGGTGACTGGTTTCTAATACAGATTAGAGCTGCCATTTTCATTTGCTGAGAGAAGAAGACGGAATTTTTGTTTGGGGGGGATTTAGTTTTGATAAATAATTAGTTGATTTATTTGATTTTTAATTGCTTTTAAGTTAAATTTCTTTTTTAAATTAATCATTATCTCTTTTATATATGTAATTAGAATTTGATATCTTTTGTTTAGTTTTTAATGACATGTCATGTTAGCAGTTCTGTTAAAATTTCTCATTTAAGATTTACGCATAATTTTTTACTCTAAGAGAGATTTTTTGTAATTTTTAAGATTTAATGCATTTATAAGTAGATATAGATAATGAGATTTTGTCAAATTATTATAAATTTTGGTGTTTTCTTATATTTTTTGTATTTATTTTTAAATCAATTCACAAATATCATTGAGTGTTCCCAAAGAGATTAATTTTTTAGTTGATGAATTTTTACTCGTCAAAACTTGGTCTCGTTCACTTCGCTGATTCGAGTTTAGAATTTGAATTGAGATATGATTTTATGTGAGAACTTTTTACTATAGCAAAAAAGTTAGATGTGATTGTTTGTGAGAGCTTTTTACTGTAGAAAAACTCGAATTCTAAACTCAAATCAGCAAAGTGAACGGGACCTAAAGGGTTGTTCTTTTGTATTTTTAAGCTATGATGACTTGAGTGATGATCTTAAATTAAGTTTGAGTTATAACTTAAGTTAAAGTTGTAACTTGAGTTTGTGTTTAGATGTACACATTTGAGTTATGATTTGAATTAAGAATCTTTTTGAGTTTGTGTTTGAGTGAATCAAAACTTAAATTTGTATTTAGATAGTATTTTAATAAAAACTCAATGGTGATGAAAAATTTTAATAGGGTATATATGTGGGATTTTATTCGTCTTTTCGTTACAAATGCATAGAAAAAAAATCATCTCAATCAGAAACTTGACTCTTATAGAGGTCATGTGTTCGCATTATTTTTATTTTTTTCGAGCTTTTCCTCTTTTTCTGTTTTTATTGTTTTTTTTAATTTTTTCTCTATTATTCTTTAGCAATTCATGTTTTTACAATAATCTTTATTAAACTAAATTTTTATTTTATTTTCTTTTAATTATAATAATTCCTTTCAATTATGTCCCTGTTTAAGTTGTTTTAAAAATAAAAAATAAAATAAAAATAAAAATAAAAATAAAACTCCTATAAAACTCCTATCCTCTTTTTTTTTTTTTTCTTCTTCTTTTTTTTTCCTATTGTCTTTTTATTCTTTTTCCTAATATATTCTTTAGCAGTTCATTTTTTTTTTTTTGTTTTTCAATATCCTTTCTTGAAATATTTTCTTTCTCTTACTTTCGTTTGATAAAAATAAATATTTTTAAATATGTTCCTACTTAAGTTTTTTTTAATCAAAAGCTCCTATATATAACTTTGTTTTATTACTGTGTGTGTTTTTTTTAAATACTTCTTTCCCCTCATACTCCAATTAATTAACTTGGCTTCCAAAGACGCTACATGTTATAATAGGGAACTAAACTTATAAAGTTATTTCTCACATACGAAAAATGAGAATAAAAGAAGGGAAAAACGAAGAAAACTTATAAAGTTATTACGTTCTGACCTTCATCAGCATGTAAGGATTGAGCAGATATTGGAAATCCAAAGCAAGTACTCCACAAAATACAATAAAACAAAAGACGCCCTTGCCTCTTCGTAGAAAACGTAAACATGATTGGAAGTGCAAAACTTATTCAATATTAATTAGTACTCTCATGATGCGAAGCACGAAATAAAGTATAGCACTATTTTTTTTTTTTTTTTTTTTTTTTTTTTTTTTTTTTTTTTTTTTCCTGAATTGGAAGAGCATGGCGCATATATAAATATAAGTACCTAGATCTTCTCCACCTTGTAATAGGACTTGGTTGCGATGTTGATTTCTCCACCAACTAAAAAAGACACAAAGCTCCACGGAATTCAGCACTCATAAATGTTGAAATGACTTGTCTTGGCGAGTCTAGAAGATGAGAAATATGTAAAAACAAGTGATGAGTTTCAAACCCCCTGTCCAAGTTCAATAAATAAAATAAATACATAAATAAATGAAAAGGAGAGAATGCTATTGAGAAATATTGTAAAAACAGGCTAATTTAACACACGTATATAACATAGTTCTCTTCCTTCAATCACCTTGTGAAATTAGACGATAATAGATTATAAAATTAAAACAAGATACGAGATGATAATAGATTATAATTTTATTGAGTGTTATACTTGAATAAAATAAGTATTACATGATTATTCAAATAATGTTACATTGAGAATAAAAATGGTTAACATTTGCTGGAACAGTACGGTTGCGGACTGAAGACATTCTCTAAAAATATTATTATTATCTGCGAAGTTATTATTCTATATTAAGGTATATTTTATATTGGAAATAAAATCCAGATTCTGCCAAAGAAATACTGTAGTCCAAAGTTACAGGCGGGAATTGCATATGCATATGTCCATTTCACCTTATCTAACTCAATATTCGTTTCTATTCGTGATCATAGATTGACTAAAAATCTGGGTCAAGTCCGGGCCCACTTATTTAGAAAGGTAATCTTAATAAATACTTATTAAAAGTATATGAATTAAGATTTTTATCATTTATTATTAATTCATAATCTTTTTAATTAAATAATTACACTAATAAAATAGTATTTATTAAAAAAATAATAAATAAAAATTTAGACTCATGCACTCAGGATAAATTCTTTATTTTTCTATTTATCTCTATCTATCAATATATAGGAGGAGGAAAAAGGGGTGATAAGAACAAAAACGAATTAATGTTTTGATTGATTTGCATCTTCCACAGATAATGAGTATAAACTCTTTCGCCCAAAAATGAATAAAGGTCAATTTCATCCGCTTCCGTTGATTTTCCATACATATCTTAATGTCCCCTCAATATTCAAATGACGTGCCACCTACATTTTATGTTCTTTGGAAAAGTCTCATTTTACACCCTCCATCTAACTCAGCCACATCACTTATGTTGATCAATTCAAGTTTTTTTTAGTATTATTTTAGTCTTTGTAATTTGTTCAACTAATATATATATACACACACACACACACACATATATTTGTTTATTATTTGAATAATGAAAGAAATTGATATCAAGAATAGTACGTAATTAGGACATTGCAATAAAGACACCCATTTATTTCCGAGACTTGAATCTTAAGAGCAGTTAGCTTGTATTAAGAAAAAAATCCATTTATTTACCCTAAAGGATGGGGTTGATTACTTTTGCCATAAAACTCATTTATTTCTTCATTTTGGTATTCTGGGTCTTTTTTTTTTTTTTTTTTTTTTTCCCTAAAACTTTGTGACACCCCAAAAACGGGGTTAGTGACATAGATGTTCGTTTAGAAATAAAACCGTTTTAAGAAAAATATTTAATCTTTTAAGTAATAATGAAAATAATTTCAAGGATGTAAATTTTGTAAAATTTCTAAACAAACCCATAATTTAAAAGAAATTATATTTCGAGGACATTTTTGGCAAATGACTATTTTTCCCCTGAGATGGAAATAATCCTAAGTCTACTCATTCCTTAATTTATCAAAGCGGATTACCAAGGAGATTTTTAGGGAAATGGTATGGATTTCATAATCTCATAAGAAAACAAATTTCTCAAATCTCCGCCTCTGGCATCATATTGGAATTTTTACATGAAAATCCAAACCGTCTAGCATACATAAATAAACTAGGAAAGGTAAAAGCTGACATCAACCACAGTCTAAGAGTATTAAGATTATAGTCCAGGAAATCGAATAAAGTCCAGAAATCGATACATGCCTTAACCAGAAATACAACAAGAGTAGTAAATACAACTCCTCACCCGAAGCTGCGCGATCTAGCTTCTCCAGTAGTTGCTGCCTACTCAGCGGTACTTCTAGTACCGCCTGGGAGTGAGGTTTAAAGACATTGAAAATAGAGAAAAATGAGTGGAAACCCCAATATGATGTGATTTATAAAAACTGAATAATTTAAACATAAATAATTCATATTAGTCATTCGGCATAACAGTTCTTAAATGAACAAGGAGAAGTCCATAAGTTTATTCCTGAACAAAATTTAAGTGATAATAAGCAAAATAATGGAAGGAGTAAATATACTTATAGTGCAAAGTCATGATATCACCACTCACGCTATGGACTGGCCCGTACGGGTTTTTGGGACCTGCCCCTAAAAATATGATCTCTATAACCTAATCTCTAAGCCATTATGCATTTACCATTTCTCAAAATATATCATTTTAAGAAAATATTATCTTTAAAACCTCATTATATCACAATGACAATTTGGTAGCATAGATCATGTCATCTTTCTCAAAACTTATTCCTTCCAAGATGTTCTTTTTCAAATCTTAATAATGCCAAACATGTTGTCTTTAAAATATTTCCATAGGCCAAATAACATTTTAAACAAGGCTAACAAAAATATGTACAAGAATATCCTACGTCTTGGCAATTTGTTCTATGGATAACTTCATGTTGTTCAAACTCTGTCTATCCCCAAAGCTCAGCGTTCGATCGTGCCGCTAGCTTTGCCAACAAAATAATGTTTTAGAGTTAAATCTAAAACTCAAACACATGATCAGGTTCGGTTATGTACCATTATATTATACTAGAGTGCGTTGATTTTAAATCAAAGTGTGCAAGTAAATCCCGTAATTCAAATTAAGATTTTCAAGAATTGGAACTCAAACAAAGAAAATGGAATGAAAAAGGATTAATGTCGTTAATCTACTCACTTGTATTTTCTAAGTGAGATTAAATTATTTTCCTATAAGAACTTTGGCTTAAAAATGAGCTTTTCAAAGGGTCTGAGGCAAAACGTGTGCCAACTGGTCGACCGAGGTTGTTTGGTGACAGTGAAAAACAAAGCCACCAATCGACCGATGGTGCCTAGAGAGGTTAGCGGATTTTTTAACTAGAGAGGTTAGCGGATAAAGATGTAACTAGAGAGGTTAGCGGATTTAATATAGTTCGAATTATAAATTATTTGTGGAGGATCGATCTATATGTAGTGACTATATTAAATGGACAATTCAAGTTCTTAGAAGTAAATTATATTTATAATTTTGAGAGTACAATTCAAAGGTTTTGGCGGAGTAACTTTTGAAATTAATATAATTAATTAATTAATTGAATAGTTTAATTAATTATTAATTTTATTAGAGCTCAGAATTATAGGTCCATGAGTCCCCACGTCGTCCTTAAATTATTTACAAGACAAGATGAATTATCGGGATTTTATTTCACTCACGGATAATTAATTAAGAATTAATTATATATTAAATCAGGATAGTGAAAGAATATAAAATTAGTGAGTGATCGTTTCCGATAGTTTTTACCTCGAGCCCACACTCATCGTCTTGCAAATTTTAAGGGGTTGAAGACTTGGGTATTCTAAGAAAGTTTTGGAGCGAGGATTGTTCATTGGCTAAAGAAATCAAGTTATCTGCCTAATTGTCGTCAAGGTATTTATTATCATAAATTAATGTGATTAATTTATTATTGCATAAATTAATATAATCTATAGCGTATTTAAAAGGTTTTGTGAAATTTTTTTGTTATACACGATCTACACTACCACGCTTCCGCACTCGAAAACATTTCAAAAACCAACACTAATATATTACAATTAACATAATTAAACAGTTTTAATTCAATCGGTTGTTACAAACTTTTTTTTTTTTTTTTTTTTTTGCATTTTGGACCTTTTCGGAATTTTATATGCTTTTAATTTTTAAATGCCTCATTTCCAAAGCATTATTTTAGAAAACTTTATTCTGATATGTATTTCCCTTCCTCTGCGCTTTATTTAAAGATATGTGTGTTGGTTGTGTATTAATTAACTAATTATTACGATTTTTAATATTAAATAAACTAAAAATAATAATAACGCGGTAATTAAAACACAACACACGCATTATTCTCCACATCTATAGCTGGTGGAGTTCAACTACTATATAAATGTATATACATATAATGATAATTTTTGTTCATATATGGCGGATAGTACAGAAGTAGGAAATACTGGCCGGAAGAGTCAATGCCCATACATAAACCAACAAAAATAACTACGGAGAAATATCGGACAGGATGTGAATATAAATCAAATAATCGGCTTAGAGCTTCTCAAAACCAACGCTCATAATTAATTAATGGGCCAGGACCATGCAAATTAAGACATGGTGATATTGACGTACGTCGACTAATTAATAATACGATTGTCAAAATTAATGCAAAAATTAATAATTTGAGAAGTTTGTATAAATCGTCAATAGGTTGATTTTGAAAAGCCCGTATATGTGAAGCGGACATGTTGGATAGTGAATTGGCGTTGGATTTTTTGTATGCTTTTTCGTACCCTAGCTTGTTTCGTGTTTTGGATCGTTTTCAATCTTGTAAATCTTATAGCTGTTTAAATTTATAAATAGAAAAAGTGTAATTTTTAACTCATTAATTGAGTCAGTAAGTATTCAAAGGCGTTAACAAATTAACTTCCTAACGCCGCTATAGCATGATTAAGTGCGTCACTAATTTAACGCGTCACTGAGTTAGAGAAGCTACTGATGCTCTATTCTAGCATCGGTAAATTACCCAAAAAAATGTACAACCCTTTATTTTCAAAGAAATGTATTGACGCCCTTTGCCGTCAGTAAGTTATTAAAATATAAAGTTCCCAACGCCATCATGCGTCAAAAAAAATTCCTAAAACATTAATATTACTTACACCTAAT